AGTAAGAAAGCTTCAGGGTTGTTTTTCTACAAAGGTAATTTTAAACATTTTTTTTCAACTCATTATAAATGATTTCCCAATATACCTTTGGGGTTTTTTTTGCATGTTTACCACATGTGGTAAAATGTGCCTTCTTTCTCTTTACACTTCCAAGGCTGCTGAATCTTATTCCAATACTGCAATAGAATGATGTCCTCCACTGCCCCTGAGGGGCATCAGGCTATCTTGTGAGATTGGATGTTGGTTTCTTGACCCTTCTTTAGTCTATTGCTGGCCCAGCATAAGATGTATATAGAAATCCTATCGATGCTTAGCCAGGAGTAAGCCCCATTCAACCCCAAAATGCTCAGGCCTGAGTTTATAGGATTGCATGTATATCTTCAGCTTTCTGTTTCCCTGTTGGGAAAACTGGCTAATTTGAGTTCAGCCTAATTTTAGCCAAATATTATTTTTATGGATAGTACAGTTATTACAGTGGTACCTTGGGTTACATACACTTCAGGTTACATAAGCTTCAGGTTACAGACTCCGCTAACCCAGAAATAGTACCTCGGGTTAAGAACTTTGCTTCAGGATGAGGACAGAAATCATGCTCCGGCGGCGCGGCGGCAGCAGGAGGCCCCATTAGCTAAAGTGGTGCTTCAGGTTAAGAACAGTTTCAGGTTGAGAACGGACCTCCGGAACGAATTAAGTACTTAACCCGAGGTATCTCTGTATAGTCTCCATTAACCCCTTCCAAAAAAACTACACAAATCTTTAACCAGCACTATAGACCGTATTTTTCGCTCTATAAGACGCACCCATAAGACACACCTAGTTTTAGAGGAGGAGAACAATAATTCCCCCCCCTCCCTCTCTGTGCAGCACCTCCCCAGCAAAGTGGCAGGAGAAACAGAAGGGGCTCCGTTTCTCCTCCCGCTTCGCTGAAGGGGCGCTGCGCAGCTTTCCCTCTCTGTGCAGCGCCTCTTCAGCACTGAAGAGGTGCTGCGCAGAGAGCAAAAGCTGCGCAGCACCTCTCCAGCGAAGCAAAGTCAGAACAGCAAGAGGGATCTGGCTTCTGGGATAGCCATGCCAAGACTCTTCAGGGCAGGGGGAGCATTCCTCCCATTGCCCTGAAGAGGCTTCGCGTGGCTATCCCTGAAGCCAGGAAGCTCTCCTGGCTTCAGCGATAGCTGCGCAGCCTGCATTCGCTCCATAAGACGCACACACATTTACCCTTACTTTTTAGGAGGGGAAAAGTGTGTCTTATAGAGGGGAAAATATGGTAATATTATAGGCAGTGCTATTTTTCTAGAGAAAGATGTGTTGGAATACACCATGTTGTTCTCTTGTAATGGCAATGGCGCCCACCTGAGAGGTGCCAGACCTGAGTTCCGGTTGAAAAAAAGCCCTGGTAAGACAAGTAGCTATATCCAGATGTGATGCTCCATTATGCAAAAACTGTCAGAGTGGGAAGAGAAGCAGAAAAGATCTGCAAACTGATAATGTGGCGTAGCTGCACAGTCTAAGGATGGGATTAGCAAGACAACGCTCTTATCAGCTTTCATATCTAGTTGAGTAAGCTCCTGATAACCACTTATGAATGCTGCTGTAAAGTCTGAATCACGCTCATGAGGGTTTCCCAGAAAGAACTCCAGGCAGTATAAAAATTTGGAGCTAATCCTTTATATCCTGGGATGACGAGCAGCAGCGTCAGCGATGGGAGATGACAAAGGTGTAAGACCAGAAGAAGACCTCTGCTGGGATTAGACCAAAGGCCTATCTGGTCCACCATTTTGTTCTCATAGTGAGCTAGCCAGATGTTCTGAGGAATGCAGGACATGAATGTGATGGCACTCTTCTGCTTGTGACTTCTAGCAACTAGTTTCAGAGGCATAATGATTTGATAACGGAAGTAATATAGCCATCATGACTGGTAGTTTTACCCTCTGGTAGCCTGGCTAGATTTTTGCGTGTCGAGGTCCCCAAGCCACCCCCCAATACTCACACATCACACATCAATTTTGGTTTGGGTTTTTGGCACTATTTTGGCCACAACTTTATTTAAATACATTCAAGTGAGTGGTTGCTTAGGCATTGGTTCCGACTATCTGTCTTTGCCCAGGGGACAGGACTGACTTCCAGATTCCAGCGGAAGCCAGTCAGGGAAACAAATTTTGGGGAGAAAATGAAGCTGGGCCTCAGTCCCTCACTTCTCACCCTCATGCTCCTGGTGGCTTGCACGGCCCAAGTCCGATGCCAGGGACAAGGATGAAAAGAATGGCAAGTCCCTGGATTCCTTTAACGGAATGCCCTTTCTGCACCACCATTGGAGGGGTAGGCGCTTACCCCTCCACCAACCAATTTGAACCAATGCCTAACCGCCAACCTTACAAGTTGTGATGATTTGCTACGCAGTAGGCAAAACCAAATGGCACCAGCCACCAGCCAAATGGACAAATTCCTACCAGGCCCCTGCCCCCAAAGCAGACGACCCCATGACAGGCATAGCAAGGTCAAGCGAACAACCCCCCCAATACAGGGAGGGTGAGCAGGTGATCCGGTATAAGCAGCCAAGAGAATGCTCAAAGTTGGGCGACCAGTATTTAAAACCTCTGACCCCTCCTTCAAAATTGGCAACAAGCAGTTCTCCCCAGTGACCCGATTAACCAATTCACTGCCTGGGTCCCTCTACAAATCCGCCCAGCAACAACGGGGTGGCTTGTATCCCCCACCACAACACGCGCTCTCTGCTAGGGAGAACACGTTTAGCTAATAGGAAGTCTAGTGGCCAGTGACGCGGGCTTCCAGAAGTGGCTGAAAGTGCCCCTGGGAGGCAGGGACGAGTGTGCCATCTTCCCAGGGACAAACAGTGACATATAAGTACCTGAGAGGATGGCACATCATCTCTCACAGGGGCACATGTGGCCACACCTTGAATACCCATGAAACAGCCACTGGCCTTTCCAGCCATTTGGAGTACTTAACTGTGGGAGAATAAAGATTTTTTTAAAACAGAAAGACAGCCTTTGGACCTCAAAAAAGGATGAATCTGTCAACTTCAGGTTCTCAAAGTTTCTCATTTTTCTAACCTTAAGTTCCGCTCACCCCATTTCTGCACAAATTTGTGATATAGTGGTACCTCGGGTTAAGTACTTAATTCGTTCTGGAGGTCTGTTCTTAACCTGAAACTGTTCTTAACCTGAAGCACCACTTTAGCTAATGGGGCCTCCTGCTGCTGCCGCCCCGCCGGAGCATGATTTCTGTTCTCATCCTGAAGCAAAGTTCTTAACCTGAAGCACTCTTTCTGTGTTAGCGGAGTCTGTAACCTGAAGCGTCTGTAACCTGAAGCGTCTGTAACCTGAAGCGCCTGTAACCTGAAGCGTCTGTAACCCAAGGTACCACTGTATTTTCTTTTTAAAAATTGTATGTATTGGGCTTTCCCTGATCTCAGTAGCCTATAATTATAGAATCATAGAGTTGGAAGGGTCCATGAGGGTCATCTAGTCCAACCCCCTGCAATGCAGGAATCTTTCTGCCCAACGTGGGGCTCAAACCCATAACCCCGAGATCAACCATGTTCTACCGACAGGGCTTGAGGAATGCTACCAGTTGTCCCGATAGGGTTGCCATATTTTGAAGAGCAAAAAAGAAGACTTCTACTTTTAAATATGGGTCGCTATGACATCTCTACCCATGAAAAAGAGGACATGTCCTGGAAAAAGAGGACATATGGCAACCCAAAGGCCTGACTGATCTCAGCTAGAACCTGGGCATTTAGTGTTGCTGGCTCCATGCTGTAGGATACTATTTCAGCAAAGATTCAACAGGCAGCCTTCTTTCTGATTTCCAGGGATCTTTGATGCTGACAGGCCTATGTGGTTTAATTCTGATTTTGATTAGTCAGTCACCTTGATAATTTTCTTTTCCCCCCTTTTCCTTTTAATGTTTTTAATTTTGTACACTGCCCCGATACTTCATGATACGGTGACATAGAAATACTTTTAGATATGAAGGAATTCATTTTTGTGCACACTTTTGGGTTGGTGAACTGCACCACAAAGTACAGCGCAATGCTAATTTTGAAGGCTAGCTGTGTTTCAGTTTGCTTACTGTCCCTCTGTTTGGGGACTGAATTTAATGGGTTTTACACAGTTAGTGGCTGAGATTCAGGGGCCCCCATCTGTGCTTTGGGTCATATAAGAGAATGCTTGGTTTTTTGCTTCTGCAAAATGTACGTGGAACACTTCTCCCCTGTGTGTGTGTGTGTGTGTGTGTGTGTGTGTGTGAACAGAGACTAAAACCAGGAGCAGAACAGAGACTAAAACCAGAACAGGAGCAGAAAAATCCATGTGTGTGCATGGAACATGGTCCTTTGGAGCCCAGCCAATATGTCTAATAGGAAGTCATATACTGTACAGTGGTACCTCAGTATTCAAACGTCTCCATGGACAAACATTTCGGTTTTCCAACGCCGTAAACCTGGAAGTAAATGCTTCGGTTTTTGAACACATCTCAGAAGTCAAACATGCCACGCAGCTTCCGTATTGAGTTTTCCATATTATGTTTTCTGTACTGAGGCTTCCATATTGAGTTTTAGTTTTTTGAACATTTCAGAACTCGAACAGTCTTCTGGAACAGATTACAGTGGTGCCCCGCAAGACGAATGCCTCGCAAGATGGAAAACCCGCTAGACGAAAGGGTTTTCCGTTTTTGAGTTACTTCACAAGACGATTTTCCCTATGGGCTTGCTTCGCAAGACGAAACTTCTTGCTAGTCTTGCAATTTTTTTCCCGCTTCCCCCCCCTGTTTCTAAGCCGCTAAGCCACTAATAGCCTTTTAGCGGTTTAGCCGCTAATCCTTTAATAGCTGCTAAGCCGCTAAACCGCTAATAGCGCTAATCCGCTTAGCCGCTAATAGGGTTGCTTCGCAAGACGAAAAAACCGCTAGACGAAGAGAATCACGGAACGGATTCTTTTCGTCTTGCGAGGCACCACTGTACATTCAAAAACTGAGGTATCGTGCTCGCTTCGGCAGCACATTTACTAAAATTGGAACGATACAGAGAAGATTAGCATGGCCCCTGCGCAAGGATGATGATGAAGAAGAAGAGTTTGGATTTGATATCCCGCCTTTCACTCCCTTTAAGGAGTCTCAAAGCGGCTAACATTCTCCTTTCCCTTCCTCTCCCACAACAAACACTCTGTGAGGTGAGTGGGGCTGAGAGACTTCAAAGAAGTGTGACTGGCCCAAGGTCACCCAGCAGCTGCATGTGGAGGAGCGGAGACGCGAACCCGGTTCCCCAGATTACGAGACTACCGCTCTTAACCACTATACCACGCTGGCTCTCAAATTCGTGAAGCATTCCATTTTTTTAAAAAACACAACAACTGAGGTATCACTGTATATATATCTGAGGCTATTTAGAATTTTTGAATATGATATGTTTGCTGGTTCAGATTCCATAATATTGTGACTGGTTTTGTGTTGATTGTTTGCCATGACTCATTTATCTGACAGGGAACAAAGGAGACTAATAACTACATTTTTGTGTTTAGTATTACCAGCTAAGGTTGAGTTCTCTTGAGGATAAATTTTTGAAAGGTTATTGAGTCAATCAGACCACAAAAATAGTACATGACAAAGGGCAGCTGAAATGGGGAGGTAAAAGATAGGTGGCTCAAGGTGTCCAAAGTAACAAAGAAAAAATTGAGCTATTTGCTATTCAGCTTGTCAGCAACTGTAATTTCCCATGAATATTATATTTTCTGCAGCTAAGACCTTCCTTATCACATGGTCCTATCAAGTACCCATATAAATAAATTTTAGATATTTAGGTATCTGAAGAAGTGTGCATGCACACGAAAGCTCATACCAATAACAAACTTAGTTGGTTTCTAAGGTGCTACTGGAAGGAATTTTTTTATTTTATAAATAAATTGTTTGAGATCATCCTTCTTTATAACCTTTCTGTACTGGTGTAAGAAGTGCAATAAGACAAAGGTTGCCATTTGTTCAACATTTTAACGCCTTGCTTCTTTTAGGAAGCTTTTTTTTCTACTTGGAAAAAACATTTCTTTGTCACTGTGAACAATTTCACATAAAAAACAAAATCCCAAAGGGTAATGGTAAATTGGGCATGAAACTGAAATTGAAAGTGTGTTTCGTAACTTTGATCAATTATATTATTCAATAGGCTTTCTACTGATAAGCTTTGGCCTATGCTGACATCATGTCACTTTAGACGTGCAATCTTGTTAAGAGTGGCTGCTTCCATATTTATTTAAGATATGACATACAGTGGTACCTCAGGCTAAGAACTTAATTCGTTCTGGAGGTCCATTCTTAACCTGAAACTGTTATTAATCTGAGGTACCACTTTAGCTAATGGGGCCTCCCACTGCTGCCGCCGCACAATTTCTGTTCTCATCCTGAAGCAAAGTTCTTAGCCCGAGGTACTATTTCTGGGTTAGCGGAGTCTGTAACCTGAAGCGTATGTAGCCTGAAGCATTTGTAACCCGAGATACCACTGAAATTTTAAAAATGTGGCTGAATGCCCATGATTATACAGCAGTTATAATACCCTTTGATGCATGTCTGGATTGTGAGAATATTAAGGATAAAGGCAGGTGTAATATTTAAAATGAGTCCTATAGTGAGTGAAAGCCTGTCTTTTCCCCAGAGTTTTAATTTTGAATGACAGATGCATGTTCCAGCCAATTGAACAATAGTTTAGCTCGAGCTGTTGCACCCCACTTTCAGGAGAGATGTCTACTTTTTTTTAAAGTGCCATATGTGAGTTTAGTCAATGCCTTATTAATAAATGAAAAAGAAACCAAAGAACCCCCCCCCCAGAATTATGCACAATCTAATATACACCAATGCTCAAAAGAACCAAAACAACACTGTATAAAGGTTATTATTAAAACAATATTAATAAAGTAATCCTTTATTATGTGCAATGGAACTTGCTCATAGGTAAGTGTGTCTAGGATGGCAGTTTCAGTTACATCACAAAAACACAATTGACTCTCAACCTATAATCCAATAACATAATAAAGTTTCTACACAAGTGGGAAATGATTTCTTACTACTGTATTGTTTTATTCCCACAACATTTGAAAAATCCCAACTCATTTCCAAAAACGATTATTATTACAGACTCTGTTAGTCCCATAATGCCAACTTTAATTTATTTAATGTGGCAGTATTGCTGCCACAATTGTGTAAAATAACATTGCTTCCTTGTTCTAATACACCAGTGCTTTTCTTCTAGAAATATAGGAGCCACTACTCACCATGAAGTTGTTACAGTAAGTGCCACGCTTTTTAACAACAAAATAGTACCTTGATTATCCCCTGGGGGAAAAAAGCACTGCTTTTAATATTGTTAACAAGAAGATATGAGGGTCTAAATTAAACCTTTCCTCCAAAATAACATTGTTTGCTTTCAATATTTGTTTCCAAAATCCCTTGGCATAAACCCAGGACAAAGAGCAAAGGACAAAAATGTTTTAAGTGAAAAACTGCTCTGGGGATTGATGATATCACAGGTATTGGCCGAGTTTGCATGTCATATTAAACCATAGCTTAAAACAAACCGTAGTTTAGTGTGAATGAGTAGTGCATGTACACTACTCTAAATTTCCTATGGCAATATTTATAGGGGCCTTGGCCCTCAACTAGGGTCTGTGCTTTTTTGGAGAATTGAAGATGTAGTAGAGGCTGTTGTAAATTTAAGAAATATGATTTATTCACATTTAGACAGAGGGAATCCAGATCTTAAAGCATGGTCATCTCAAGAGGAGCTTGTTCCCCACAACAGTGCAGCACTGGAGCCCAAGGCACCTCACCCAGCTAGCCTTCAGCCAGCCTGCCCAAGATGGAGTTGTTTTCCCTTCTTGTTCTCCTTCTTGTTCCCAGCACACCTTGCTAAAGACACTCTTTTCTTGTAACCTCACACGCACACACCATCACCTTGGCAACCTCTGTCTGGCTTCCTCCAGGCCCAAGGATTCATCTTAGATGGACAATCAACACCTTTTGTCATGTTAACGGCTTTGCTCTTCATTAGCCCAATCAGGCTGGTTTGCATAACCCAGCCCAGGGATTCCTTGTCTGGCGCAGTTCTGCATCTTGCATTTTCATTCATATCCCAAATAATGAAATCCTACCATTTATTAATTTGGGTTTTTTTTGGGGGGGGGCAACCTATAACAATACATACCTGCGTGGAGATATACTTGGGTCGTGCTGATATGAATAGGATACACAGTCCAATTTGCAATCAAAATGTACATACCTCTATTGGATTCATTTGTAATTAGTTGTCCGATAACACCTTGTTTATGAAGAATTACAGCTAGATTGAGACATTCTTTTTAGTGTTATATTATGCTTAATGTTGCATTTTAGTATTAAAAGGATTTGTATATTTCTTTCGCGTTACTCTTCTTAGTTATTTATTTGGGAGTACTAACCAAAGTTCTCGAGCCGCTTACAATATATTTGTTACACAATAAAATAGCCGGCAATACAATAGTCACTACAGCAGGGCAAAGGTGCCTATAAGGTCCCTCATCCCTTTGTTCTCTGATGTTCCTGCAAGACTTGAACTGATTCACCTCACAAAGCACTCACCGGGACCAAGCAGATTTCTACAGAAAGGACACAAGATCTCCTCTGACCTTAGAATTGCATTTGCAAAACCCGATGGGCCTTGAAATTGTGCTGGCGTTGACATCGTTTACGCTGATTGAAAAGACACAGCAAACACCTTGAGAATTTTACTCTCCGCAACAGGCCTACTAACATGCTGATTCAGCGTTTGGATATCTCACTTCCTGCCACAAATGCTATTTTTTCTCTTTGCTGTGGTTATCACTATTCTCGTATCTTTCCACATTCCTTCCACCTGTCTCTTTGCTGATGTCTTTCTGTTGCGATATTCGGTTGTTTGCTTCCCTCTGTCTCTCTCTCTCTCTTGAGCAAACACATTATGACGCCCAAGGACTTTTTGGAATTGTCATTTTACGAAAATTAAAGAGATGTGTGCTATCTCAGAAGCAAATCATTACTCAACGAGCTCCAAATATTTTGTTTTACAATTATCCAAAGGACAGCAAAACTCACGGTTTTATATTGTAATGTGCTAAGGATCTGGTAGCAGCGAAGCTCCTGGCAATGACTGGCTGAGCTGATCTCTCCAAGTGTGGCAAAATGCAGCATATGAAAACGATGTTGTGGTGTGTGCGAATTCATTCTGGGGAATCTCAGGGCAGCATACTGTAGGCAGAGGTGCTGTTTAGGTAACTGTTGGAATGACTACAGTAATTAAAGGAGGGTCTTAGAATTTCATACCCTCTGTGGCGTTTGCCTCCTAGGTGGGTCATAAGGAAAGGGTTAAATGAGTGTGATGTGATTGGCCAGTGGAAACCCAAGGGGAGGAGTTAGAGTTGGTGTTGGTGTTGTGTGGAAGTCAGTTGAGAGGTGGGAGTTGGGAAGTTGGAGAAGGAGGAGGGAGGATAAGTCTGAGGGTTGTTCGAGTTGCGTGGTGAGAGAGTGAGAGGAACTGTTAGGTGGAGTCAGATAGATAGTTGGGAAAATCAGTTTGAAGTTGTTAGGAATGTATAGGTCAGCAAATAAACTAAGATTAAGAAACTGCCAAGAAAAATTAACTGAAACCACAAACTTGTTCGTGCCTATAAAATAAACTTGATTATTTCTTAATGTTAACAACTGTCTGGACTCCGTGTGTACCTGAGAGAAACGGGTTGGTGGCAGCGGAAAAGCAATCTCAGTGGTGGCACAGGGATCAATAGACCGTCAAATGTCCGGGGACCCTGTGTGATCGCCACACCCTCCAACATTTCTCCAGTGAAAATAGTAAGGTAAAGGTAAAGGGACCCCTGAGCATTAGGTCCAGTCGTGGCCAACTCTGGGGTTGCGGTGCTCATCTCGCTTTATTGGCCGAGGGAGCTGGCATACAGCTTTCGGGTCATGTGGCCAGCATGACTAAGCCACTTCTGGCGAACCAGAGCAGCGCACGGAAATGCTGTTTACCTTCCCGCCGGAGCGGTACCTATTTATTTATGAAAATAGTAGGGACGTAGTATTTAACCACCACAA